TTCATTTGATGTTCTAGGGTTTCAAGATTGTTGATTCTCTGTTTGGCTTAGTTTTTCGGATCTTTGTTGTGGAGGGACGGCGTGGTGCTTCTGCCTAGAGCGCCATCTTGCCGGAAGTCCCTCCATAACTTAGTTTTTAAAAGACTGTTCTATAAATCTGTTCTTGTTTTTGAATGGACTGCAAGCTGAGAATAGACTTTACATTTGTTAATGGTTGAAAAATCAGAAAAATGAAAATTACGTGGAATTCAAATTTTATTGTCCATAAATAAAGTTTTATTGGCACACAGCTATGCTTGTACATTTACTGTGGTTGTTCTTGCGCTTCAGTGGCAGAGTTTGAGTAGTTTTGACAGGGACAGTATATCCTGCAAAGCCTAAAATATTTACTGTTGGGCTCTTTACAGAAAAGCTTTGCAGACCTCTATTCTAGGGCATTCTCAAGCACATTGACTAGTCAAAGCTCTGCAGCAGGCTGAGAATTAAAACCATCACTTGCTGTGAAAGAGATATCCTTTCTACCTAACACCACCCTTGTAATAACCTCTGACCTCTTTCTACTTGCCAGGCACCATCTCACTTAAGGCTTACAACCATTAATGTCAGTCCACAAACTCAAGAAACGTTAACCTTATTTTCTGTAACTCAACTCAGTTTCTATTTTGAGCCATTATTCAGTCAACTGGCAAAAACCATTTCAGTCATTTTGAGATTCTCCTTATTTCCCCGAGGTAGCACACAAATTCCTGGGGCTGGGACATTTGATCTTTGATTGTCAACACTTTATGCTGCCCCTTGCTGGGATGTCCAGTGCTTTATCCCCTTGCCTTGCAGGTTGGCTGCTACCTACCTCCTTGTTGCCATTGGAGAGGCAGCGTTAGGTCTGGTGCCTTCCTTCTAGCACTGAGACACATTCCCCTGCTCCTGTCCCAGTGGTTCTCACCCCTGAGTGTGCATTAGAATCACCTGGAGGGCTCATTAAATCACAGATGGCTAGGCCCCAACAACAGCATTTGATCAAGAGGGAGGCTGTTGCTGCTTGTCTGGGCACTACATTTTGAAAACCTCTTGGGGGAACAAAGAGAATCTGTTTCAGTTCTGTCAAGCTAAACAAACCTGGATCCTTTTAACCCTGCTTCTCCCAGGTAAAGAGGACCCAGATCACTCACCTCTGCTCCAGATCCCCCCAAAACATCTGGAGTTTTTGTATTACATCTTTCCTACCATTTAGGACAATGGCTCCCAAGCTTGGCTATACATTGGAATCACCTGGAGAATTTAAATAAATAGCAATACCTGTGTCCCCCACCCCACCCCAGAGTTTACGACCTAATACATCTGGGATGTGGCTTGGGCACTGGGGTTTTTTGAAGCTTCTGAGTGATCCTAATGTGCAGCCAAGTTTGAAAACCACTACTCTTGGGCGGTGGTTCTTCAATTGTTTTCGGGAACCTGAGCATGAGCATCACCTGGGAACTTGGAAATGCAAATTCTCAAGCTCCACCCCAGACCTGCTGAGTCGGATTCTCTGGACTTTAACAAGCCCTGCACATGATTCTGATGCACATTTAAGGGGGTCAGGCTGGCTGGGAAAGGGAATAGGGCTCAGAGACTCTATCAGGGACCCTGTGATCATCCAAGCTCTTGGCATTTTCCCTCTAGTTTTCCTGTTTCCCTGAACTTGCTGTCAAATTGATTCTGACTCATGACAACCCTATGTGTGCAGAGTAGAACCTTTCCATAAGGTGCCAAGGCTGTGACCTTTAGGAAGCAGATCGCCAGGCCTTTCTTCCTGAGGCACCTCTGGGTGGGTTCAAACCTCCAACCTTTTGGCTAGTAGTCAAGCTCTTAACCATTTGCACCACCCAGTGACTCCTTCCTGGACTAGGGTATCTTTTTCTAGTCTAAGGGATCAGGGAAGACATGTTCTTATATCACTACGCATGCTCCTCAAGATATTATACTCTCTCTATACTCTCCTTGGCGGGAGAAATAGAAGGTAGGCTTTGGAGGCTTCAAAGCCAGACAGAGACCCTCATTATCCTTCTCCTGCTGTGTCAGCCACCCTTCCCACACAGAGGGAAGATCTAGCTGCCTGGGTATAGGAAAGGGCTGTGAGGCAAAAGAAAATAGGTCAGAAAAGAAATTGCTTAATATTTCAAAACTTTACTCCCCACACACCCCCAGGTATGTTATTGTTCGTTGCTGTCCAGTTGGCTCTGACCTGTGGCAACCCCATGTACAACAGAGCAAAAAGTTGCCCAGTCCTGTGCCATCTTCATGATGGTGGTTGGTATGTTTGAGTCCACCAAGACAGGTAGTCTTAGGTATTCAAGGAGCTGAGGCAGGAGAGTTTCAGTGATTTGCCTGTTATCCTAAGCCACAGAGGCTGTTGTGACTCCTGAGCCTGAGTGTTAATAGTTCTTGTGCACTCATTCACAAAAGACGGGACACCATAGATGGTCTCAGATATAGTAGGAGAAAAATGTAGAACAAAATTCAAATTCTTAAAAAAAGGTCAGACTTACTGGACTGGTAGAAACTAAAGGGACCCACGAGACTATTGCCCTGAGATAACCTTTAAACTTGGAACCACTCCCAGAGTGGTTTCAGCTAAGTAACAGATTGGCTCATAAAATAAACAGTTATCACCTGTGAGTACTGTGCTGCTTTAAAAAGTCACCTATATGAGACCAAAAGGTCAACACTTACCCTAAAGCAAAGATGAAAATGTCGGGGGCGGGGGTGGGCAGGGAAGCTCGATTAACAGCAACAGAACTGAAATAAGGAGAACCTTGACACAATGCAGAAAACGTAACCAGTGTCACTGAACAATATGTATAGAAATTGTTAAATGGGAACCTAATTTGCTGTGTAAACTTTCATTAAAAACACAATCAAATATTTTTTTAAAAATCCTTATGCTCTCCAGTCTTGCCCATTGTAAAGTCATTCCTTGGTGTCCTCAGGACTGTGGGCGGTGATCAACAATGCTGGGGTCCTTGGCTTCCCGGCTGACGCGGAGCTTATTCCCATGGCTGACTACAGACAATGCATGGCCGTGAACTTCTTTGGAGCCGTAGAAGTCACAAAGACATTTTTGCCTCTTCTTCGGAAATCCAAGGGGAGGCTGGTGAACATCAGCAGCATGGCAGGTGAGTTGACCTTACCCAACGAGGGTGTGGGACAGCTTGCTCATTCTCTGTCTGAAGGACAAGAAAGCAGCATGGGCTCACGCGGGGCTGGGCCAGGATTAGTTAAATTGTATAACCACTGCTGACCTCAGCACAATACAACTTTTTTCTCCTTTCAAATCCTCTCGTGTAAAAGCTAACTGCCTTCTAACTCATCTATTCATTACTGGGGAGCTAGGATTCTTACATATCTTCATAACATAACTGTCAACACAAGCTTCCTAGATTTGAACAGGAAATCCCAGCTGTCAGCATTACAGGTAACCTGTTTTCAACCCTCCCTGAACTCGGCATTTTTCTTTGTCTCTTTTAAGATGAGCAGACAAACACCTTCTCTTTTATATGCACAGTTAGGGCCCTGTGTCTCAGTCCACTGCCTACTAGTGTTTTTCCATAAGACCGTCCCCGGTGTTTTGCAATCTTGATGCAGCTGAGTCAGGATGCAACTTGTCTCTCTCTGAGAGTCAACAACTTGAGTTGTCAATGGCTTAACAATCTCTCTTTCTATAAACATTGCTTATGTATGTGCTTCATGCCCTTTCTTCTAGGATAGACATCTTAAAACTGGGGTTCCTCAGAGTCTTACTCAGCTTTGAGTTATGCCCATGGGGTTGTCTTTTGGGCCACTGCATGGGTGAGAGGGAAGCCAAAGAGGTGGGCTCTGGACCCAGGACGCTCCTTCAACCAGAGGGGTGCTGCTCTGTACAGATTTATCAATTGATTACAAGTAAGATGTTTCTTTTTAAAATAAAGAGCTCAACTAGTTAGATTTTTTTGTTTTGTTTTTAATGTGAACAACAGTTCAATAAGAATTTCTGTTTGAGGGTTCTTTGTATTTCCTGGGCAATTATTGTTGTCCAACATGCTTGTTTTCCTGGTTTAACTAAGCAACTTTCTTGGCACTAACTGTTATGTGTGTGTATCTTAGGCTGGGTTCTCTAGAAAGCAAAACCAATGAAGTATATAAATATATATAAGAGAGATTTATATCAAGGAAATCTCTCAAGTGGTTGTAAAGACTGGTAAGTCCCAAGTCCGTGGGCCAGGTGTCAGGCTTCAAGCTGGAGGTGTCTCCTGACTTATGTAGCTGCAGGTGCTGATGAACCCAAGATCCACAGGTCAGATGGCAGCTGCTGGCTCACAGCTGTGAAGGCAGACAAATTCAAGATTGGCAGGAAAAACGGCAGGCTGCTAGCTTAAGTCCCAAGAGCTGGAGGTCAGATGCTGATAAGCCAGCTGCAGGATCCAGAGCACAGCAAAAGCCAGAGAGCTTTGCCAGAAAGTCCAAATATATTGGACGCAGGCCATACCCCCAAGGAAACTCCCTTTCAATGGATTGGCTACTCACAGCAGATCCCATCATGGAGGTGATCACATTATATCAGAGCTCATCATGGAGGTAATTACAACATTATATGACTGCCAGACTACATCATAACTGCCAAACCACTGAGAATCATGGCCCAGCCAAGCTGACACACAACCTTAGCCATCACATATGTGTCACTAGGGTTCTTGGTTGGCTTGAGGCATAAGCAAAAGGGGAAGGAAGGGAGGGAGGGAGGAAGGAAGGAAGGAAAGAAGAAAAGAAGGAAGAAGAGAAGGAATGAAGGAAGGAAAGAAAAAGGAAAAAGGGAGGGAGGAAGAAAGAGGAAGGAAGGATAAGTGGATGGATGGATGGGAAGAAGAAAGAATGGATGGAAGGAAGAGGAGGAAAGGAGGGAAAACAGGGAGGAGAGATGGAGGGGGAGAGAGAAAGGCGTCTAGGATGGTGAGGAGCAATGAGCATTATATTTTAACTTGTATGAGAACCCAAAGTATTTTCCAATTTCTTGCTACCTTTTTGAAGAAAATAAATCTGAAGAAAGACATCTACAGTATTTGTACCTTATCTTTGTTTTGAACTTAGCCTTCAAATATGTGACCTGTGTGGAAACCTCACCTTTCTCAGTTCCTTGGTACAGTCTGATACTTCTGGAAAAGCCTAATGCATCCCTTGCCTCACTCATTCAACAAATATTTACTGAAATGACTGATGATTTTCTTCTCCTTGACATATTGACCAGGAAGTTTTTCTCTTTACTCTCTTTGTTCTTGACTTTGAGCATCTCATTTATTCATAACATTTTTACTTTAGTTATCACTTTCTTGCACAATATGTGTTGTATGCCCAATGTCTGGCAGACAGTAGAAGCTCAATTAATAAATGAAGAAATGCAAGCATGTGAATGAATGAAAAATGCATGAATTAGTGGGTGAGCGAAGAACTCACAATGCAGAGGCTGCCCATTCACACACCTTCTACTTGGCTTCTGAAGCACTTTCTAAACCTGGATTTCTTACTCTCTTGTTAAATATTTCCACTTGGAGGGAACTTTGAGTGTTAAAATAAGTCATAGACCTTGCTTCTATTCAAGATCCGACATTCCCTGCTTGTGTGAATTCCTGACACCCAGCCTTATTATTTCCATTTCATTTTCTTACCACGATCTCCAAGTCAACATGTCTAAAACCAGACTCACCATCAGTACTCAAAGCTTACTCTCCTGACTTCTTTCTGTCCTTCTCCCAGTCTTTCCAGCTTTGGGTCTTTGAGCCTCTTGGGTCTGTCCCTCCCTGTGCCTCTGTCTCCTTTCTTCTACCCAGCTAGTCACTGGGTTTGGCATGTAGTGATTGGTGAAGGTTAGTAACTCAAAAGCCACCCCACCATGGAGTCTGGGAAGAGGTTGATGGTATATGCACCTGTGCCTTTTTGTCCTGCCAGCTGCTGCCATCACTGCCCCTGCCTGTGACACTGAGTTACCTTCAATCCTTCTGCTCCCTGTCACACATTAGCTCCTGGGCAGATAACCCCAAGAAGTCACTACTTTCAGACAGGACCACACCTAGTCCAGGAGCCTTTTTCCCTCTGTAATAGCATATTTATCATCCTTCCCACCCAAATAGTACGGCTCTTTAACTCAAACCCTAGCAAGGCAGCTGGATAAATATTTAACCAGAATCTGTGTAATTAGGAGGTACCATTCTGACTGATTGTACAAAGGCAGTTGAAAAAATCTATATGTTTGAAAGAGCTGAAAGCTTTTTCTGGCTTGTTTTCTTCTTAAGAAACTTCAAAGTAAACACCTGTGTACCAGTGCATGCTGTGCTTAAACAAGAACAATTGAAAACAAACGCTCATGAAACAGCTCAGGTCTCAGAGATTTTGAGTCAGAGTCATGGTTTGAACCTCACTCTGCTCTTTGCTAATTTCATTGGCTGATTTTCAGAAGTAGATCACCATGCCTTTCTTCCCAGTCTGTCTTAGTCTGGAAGCTTTGCTGAAACCTGTCCACCATGGGTGACCTTGCTGGTATTTGAAATACTGGTGGTATAGCTTCCAGCTTCATAGCAACATGGAAGCCACTACAGAAGGACAAACTGACAGACAGCCAATGAAAATGAGGGAAATCTTCCATGAGATGGATTGACACAATGGTCGCAACAATGGAGTCAAACATACCAACAATCATGAAGATGGCACAAGATCAGGAAACGTTTTGTCCTGTTATATATAAGGTTGCCATGAGTTGGAGCCAACTCGACGGCAACTAGCACTGTTCTTTGATAGCTGGATGACCTAAGGCAGATCACCTCGCTGGTCTCTGTCTCTATTTTATCATCAGTCAAATGGGGGTGATATACTGCCTGTCTAGGGTGGGGTTTCTCAACCTCAGCACTACTGATTTGGGGGAGGATAGTTCTCTGTTGTGGGGAGTTGTCCTCTGCATTGTTGGATGCATAACAGCATTTGTGGCCTCTGTCCACCAAATGCCCGCAGTACTACCTCCCTCCCCCATCTTAGTTACCTAGTGCTGCAGTAACAGAAATACCACAAGCAGACGGCTTAAAAGCTCGGAAATTAATTTTCTTACAGTTCCAGAGGCTGAAAATCCAAATCAGGATCTTGGCGGTATTGATCCTTTCCGTGGGTCTCTCTCCTGGTTTCTGGTGTCTCTGGCAACCCTTGGCATTCCTTTGCTTGTAGACGGGTCCTCACATGGCATCTGTCTTCAGCTGTGCATGTGTCTCTGTGTCTATTCTACTCTTTTTATAACTCTGAAGGGATTACGTTTAGGACCCACCCTACTCCGGTATGGCCTTATTAACATAAAAGGAAACCCATATTTCCAAACAGGGTCATATTTTACAGGAACAGGGATTACACATATTTCTGGAGGGGGAACACAATTCAATCCATAGCATGCCTTAAGTGTTCAGACATTGCCAAATCCACTGGGAGGCAAAATCGTCCTTGGTTGAGAACGACTGTCTCAGATGTTGCTTGAAAATGCTTTGTGGGTTCTGAGTGCTTAGCCCAGTTACTGGTACATAGAAAGCAGCAGAGCAAAAGGGATCTCTATCAAAAAGGTAATCAAAAAACTCCCAACAAAAAAAGGTCCTGGCCTGGATGGCTTCACAGGAGAATTCTACCAAACTTTCAGAGAAGAGTTAACACCACTACCACTAAAGGTATTTCAGAAATAGATAAGGCTGGAATACCCCCATACTCATTCTGTGAAGCCAGCATAACCCTGATATGAAAACCAGGTAAAGACACCACAAAAAAGAAAATTACAGACCAATATCCCTCATGAACATTGACGCAAAAATCCTCAACAAAATTCTAGCCAATAGAATTCAACAACATATCAAAAAAGTAATTCACCATGATCAAGTGGGATTTATACCAGGTATGCAGGGGTGGTTCCAC